ATGGTTAAACTGTCCCTTGCAGCTATTGATGGTGACATGAATTAAGATGATGATTGTGATTGAGATAGATTTCTATATAGTTTATTATACATGATATGCTCAGGTTCATATACCTTGAGCCAAGCAACCAGATTATGTTCCTCTAGATCTAGATTCATCAGAATAATTACTTACTTAGTAAAATTCTCCTGGTCTCAGTTGTGTGTTTAGGATCTTGACTAGATTTCTAGTAGCTAGTCAATGATATTTCTCCTATCACCGAGACATAGTCATGGTTGATAAAACAGGTACAAACGATGAATCGTGTCTGTACATGACGTTGTGATATAGTCATGATTGTCTGAACAATATCAACTTATGAATGAGCCATGTCTCTACATGACATATAAAGACTCAACCACAATTGTTCTGAGGAAGCCTCAAAAGCCTAGATACGATACTCCAAAGGCTTATAGACCAATTGCGCTCCTCAACACTATGGGTAAAATCCTCGAAAAGCTGGTAGTAATTCGTCTTTCCAAAGCAGCAGAACACCACAACCTCCTCTCTGACAAACATATGGGAGCTCGACCACAGAGATCTACAATTTCTCTAGACGAGCTCCTGACACAGTAGATACACACAACCTGGGGCAAAGATAAAAAGAGGGTGGTATCTCTCCTTAGCTTAGATGTATCTGAGGTATTTGACAATATGTCACACGAACGAATTATTCATAATCTCAGAGAAAAAAGAATCCCAAAGTTGATGGGTGTCTACATAAAGTCCTTCCTCAAAGAAAGAAGAAGATCAATAATGTTTGGATCATTCAATGGCGACCAGATGTCTATCAGCACCGAGATACCGCTAGGCTCAGCCCCCCGCCAATACACTTTCTCTTTGTTAGCACTCTTCTCCTGATGCTCGAGACTAGAACTACGACAGCAGTTGGATTTTTAGATGACATAAACATCCTGAAATGGTCAAACTCGACCGAAGAAAATTGCCGAAAGTTGGAGGAAATACACCAAATCTGTGAACAGTGGGCAAGAAGACATGGGGTCAGATTCGCGCCTGGAAAGTATCAGCTGATTCATTACTCCTGAGCCAGGAAATGACATAACCTGAAAGCGGCAATTGAAATCCAAGGCCATACCATAGTCCCACAGCCTTCCCTACGAGTTCTCGGAATCTACTTTGATCCTAAGCTGAGTGAGGGAGCACACATCAAGAGCCTTCAACTAAAGGCAGAGATGCAAGTTCAGGGTCTCAGAAGGCTAGTTCAATCAACGTGGGGAGGCATATTTCACAAGTCAAAGATACTATATAGCACGATTGTGAGGCCGGCACTAACATACGGGTAATCGGTTTGAGCCGAGTTTGGGCCGGGTAGAAAAATACCAGAGAGGATAGTAAGACCTCTCAGGAGCATACAGAGGACTTGTCTGAAAATTGTCACCGGGGCACACAAGTCCACCAGCACGAGAGTGCTGGAATACGAAACGACCACCCTTCCCATCGAAATATACTTGAAGCAACAAAGGCTTCCATATTTAGGTCGCTCAAAGGACTTACCTGTCCAGAAGACAATCCGGTCCGCCTGTAGTAAAATCAAGCTGCCAAAAAAGGGAGAGAAGATATGTGAACAATTAACAGGAGGATAGATCTTGCCAACTGGACGGGAATGTGCCGTGAAAAAAACGAAAACACATACAGAGATAGTGAAAGTTATGGCATACCAAGAGTGGGCGAAATCTTAGGCCAAGCAGAAACAAACTTAGAAGCTTCGGCAGTTAGCAACTGCAGATTCTTGGAGAGCAGCCAAATTTTACCAAAGTAAAGAGTCTAGACGGCAAAAACTGAGTTTTCAAGGCTCACCATTCTTCCTACATCGTAACCTGACAAGGACCCAAAGCAGTTTGGCAATGCAAATACGAAGTGAGCACATGGGGCTTAACTCGTATTTACACAGAAGAAAAGTACCCGAAGTACCCGAAGTATTAAGTCCAGGTTGTCCATGTGGCTACCAATCGCAGAACCCCAAGCATATAATTATGTCCTACCACCGATGGTCAAATGGTAGAGCTGATATCTGGAGACAAACCAAAGATCGATCCTGCGAAGCGATGATAAACAATCCTGGAGATATAAAAAGGATAACACAGTGGATCCTAAACCATGGTTGGATAGAGCAATTCCAGATGACAAAGGCGGTCGAAATTCTACCGAGGGAAAGGAACAGGTCAAATAATGCTTAGGGTTGGTAGAGATGATCTGGTTGGTGTACATGAATGGCAACATAGTGTAACTGCGCATCCTGAAGAAAATATGTGAAAACTACAGACAACAAGCAGGAAGGTGCGGAGGGTTTTCACCATAAAAGTTCCCTCCTGTGTAAATATTACATGTTGTAGACACCTGCATGGGCCCATAGGGCACCAAATCAGGATAATGAAATCAGATTCAAATTCCGTGAACTTAGTTTAACATATGTAAATACGTTTATCCTTAAATAAAGATTCCCATAGCTTAAGTGATCCCAGCTCCCAGTGATCTGGCAACAACCAGCCACTCAATTATCACAAGGTAGTATTTCTTAGTTACTGCATTTCAGATACTAATGAGCCTCATGTTGCCTAGCTAAGTTCAATCAAATGCAATCGAAACAATTTAATTTGTCTTGATGATCATACCTAGAAATCTAAACTTTCATTCATATTAAGTCTAGATTTCCAACCAAGTTTCCACATAGATTAGGTTAGATAAGACTATTATTATTTCATTTTATTGTCCTGTCTGAGTCTGTGACATTGTAGAACATGCAGGTCCTCTCTGTCAACAGGCCAAGGATATCTCTACCAGTAGTATTTCCCCTCCTATGCTTCTCATACAGCTCCCCTCAAATTACCGCCCCTCACAAGTCCTCATTCCCTCATACACTTAGACGAGCCCTTTGCCCTTCATCATCTCCCTTCTCCAGCCAACGAAACGATGGACATGTGCGGGTGTATGGCAGACGGGAAAAATCGCAAAAACCACCGGGTGCGGAGCTCTCCTAATACCGAAATTAGGACCAAATCTGAAAACATAGTGCCCCTTCTGAAGCGTTCGAAGAGGCCGGCCAGCTGGGCGCTGCAGACTTGAGGGCACCTCGGGAAATTCACACTCTACCTTTCTAGCCTCCTTCCAACTCCTTCCCGAAGGTCGTGGTGAAATGTCAGAAAAGTCTTGACAGAGCGTGATTGCTGTATAGTAGCTTAGTCAAACTTCTTTTGTGCTGTCCAGGGCGCTGGGGAGTGCCGTTGACTCATCGACAAGAGAAGCCCTCCTGGCTAATTAGCCGAAATCTCGATCTTGGCGCCCACAAACGTCCAAAATTGAGAACCTCTCGAAAATGTCAGCCCTAACATGTTCTTCAGAGACTTGTTCCTCCTCTCGCTCCACATCTCTGCCGCCTGTCCTTCTTCAAGATGTATAACACCATTAGAGCATCATTCCCCCATAAACCAAGACCCGAGCTTTGGGCACAATGAGTTAATTGCCCCAGTGTGGTTATACGAAGCGTCGTAAATTTGTAATGGGTGATGGCCGATAATGATTGAGGCAAGCTCCTATTTGAAATTGGGGTTACGCCTTTATCGGTCGTTGAGGCGAGGTGGTGTGTGGTGAGGCTAAGGTAGAAGACTCGTAAGACTGACAAGACCGACATTGATGAGAAGTCGCCGAATATAGATAAGTCTTTGTTTACTTTAGTCTTCAATTCGGATGAGATTCTTCTTGGCCATCCTAGATATGCAGAGCATAATGAGTCATTACACAGGCACCACTGGAAGGTGAAGAATTCGTCCTTGCCGGCTTTAGAATGCCGATGAAGTTATTTGGTCAAATATATTTGTAGCTCCTTGCTTAGGCATGAAGGAGGAAATTTATTGCACAACATTTAACGGAAAGTCTTGATCTAACAGTCAATGACACAGACAACCTCTTTGATTTACATTAAAAGGTTTCTTAGAAACTTGTACTGATCATGTCAGCGACCAACTTCATAAGACAAGCATTCCGAATATTGCAAGACAGTGCGTGAGTTAGATCCTTGGCTAACCGACGGGGAACTACACTGCATTGACGCCTGGAAAGAGCCCGGTGTTTGAGCGCCAGGCATGAAAGACGATGCACCATGAGCTTTTAGAGCCCTTTATTGGGGCAAGATAGAAGATCAATTTGGCGGCACGATATTGAAAGAGCCCGGTTGAGATTGCCTTAATTGGGGATTATAATGACTTTTGCTTTTTTTGTAGATGCTCCGGCGTAGCCACCCCGTTCACACCGATGTAGAGTAACACTATTAGGACCAACCTGTGAACAGGTAAGTCGAGCGACTATTGCGGTGATATTGTCTCTTCCAGGTGCAAACCTTGAGAAGAGGTATCCAGAGCTATAGATTTCTTAGCTTGTGGATTCTGGCCATGTGACTAATCTCTTTGCTGTAACAGGCTTCAAGTCTCGCATACCTGTTTGGTTCAGGTGCTGGACTAAAAGTATTCTCCGAACAAGCTGCGCTTTGTTTGTTAGATAAAATGCTAGGCTTACTGATCTTTCCAGAAGGGGTTTGACGATTAGCGGAGTTACCACTGTAGTCTAGGAAGTGTTGACGCTGTCATGTGGGTTGCGGGCTAGCGTTTGCTGTACTCAATGAATCAAACATTATTGGATTGGATCCATCCATCACTCTTCCTCACGCCCTTCTCTATTCCTAGGGCTGACCATTACGACGCAGCTAGTCGTACAGCCAGGCTGATTCACAGTTAATTCAAGTCATCCTCTTTACCCTCGCAACGTTTTCCATAACAGAGCATGATAGCTTCTACGGCCAAATGTCAATTTTCGATGCACGGCTAGCCTTACTCTAACAAACTGTGTTAAATAGGTCTACGAAAAAATTGAAGCGTAGAAAATTGTACAAGTTATCTTTTCTTAGCCGTAAAAACTTGTTGGTCTTACCAGGTTTAGACGTAGTAATCATGGCTGTGGTGGACTTCTACCGTTACAAGAGACTTGTTCAATACTTTTGGGACCCAGAGCCAGTCAATCACAATGCAAATGAACACTCAATATGGTGTTTAGGAAGGGAATACATGAATAGAATTAATAACCAACCGCCAATTGTCATTTCTTCAAAGCTCTCTTCTAAAACATCCGCAGCAGATAACAAGCTTCCATCCTGGACCAACATTCTATCACAGAGCGATCCTTATAACGTCAATTCAGGAAAAACCATTCAAGAATGCGAAAGAAATAATGGGGGCTGGCCACTCGACTTCCTCGACGACTTTGAATCAAGGATATCACTTACTTACCGATCAGGATTCAAACCAATTGCCAAACTTCAAGACTCCCAACATTCATCCCTATCTATTCCTTCAGCCTTGAGATTAAAATTCGGCGATGAGTCTGGATTTACATCTGATACTGGCTGGGGCTGCATGATCAGATCAGGACAAAGCCTTCTAGCAAACGCTTTTATAATACAAAAGTTAGGAAGAGGTTAGTCGGTGAAATCTCCAGTCGAAATGGAAACTGAATCATTCTCAGACTGGCGTCGCGGTATGTTACCTCACGAGGAGCATAAAATCATTTCTCTTTTCGCAGACGATCCAGAAGCACCATATTCTATTCACAAATTTGTCGAACACGGTGCAGTTTTTTGCGGAAAGAATCCAGGACAATGGTTTGGCCCTTCAGCAACCGGGCGCTGTATACAGTAGGAGTTCTGTTACATGGTACTTCTATTCGCTAATTGAACAAAGAGCCCTTACAAACAATTGCCAAAATACAGATCTACAAATATACCTCACAGGAGATGGTATGGACGTTTATGAAGATACTTTTATGTCCATCGCCAAACCAGATGGCATCACATTTCGTCCAACATTAATTTTAATAGGCACGCGGCTCGGTCTAGACCAAATCACTCCTGTGTATTGGGATGCCTTGAAGGCATCACTCAAAATACCTCAATCTCTAGGAATAGCGGGGTAAGCTTTTTGATCACAACCTACCTCAGTTCTAACCTATTCTACTTCATTACTCTAGAGGTCAGCCATCTTCCTCACACTATTTTATCGCTGTCCAGGGATCAGACTTTTTTTATCTGGATCCTCATCAAACTCAACCTGCATTATCTTTTCCTCAAGATATCAATGAGTATACACATGAGGAAATTGACTCATGTCACACAAGAAGGCTACGAAAAATTCATGTCAAAGAGATTGATCCCAGCATGCTCATATCATTTCTAATTCGTGACAAGGAAGATTGGGACAGTTGGCGACGAGCAATCCAAAATATTCCTCATAAAGCTTTTATAAACGTTATAGGTACGGATCCATTGCTTCAAAATATTAGCAATGAACGTCAGAGTGCAATTGAAGAGGTCGAAACATTTGACGATTTTGACGACCACTCTTTGTGAATATTTCGTTTCGTATCGTAATTCGAGCTGAAAATAAGACCGAGCAGGCTCACTAAGCAGATCACGCTTTAAACAAACTTACGACTAAACTGCCTTACCTAGCTCATCTCAGTAGTTCCTCTGTAGGAATAAGCTCTACGGCATCATGGCTACAGAACTTGTCATTTTTCAAAAACTTCATTTACCTGCATGGTATATCAAGAAATTTAATCGCGGCCAATTCAGGAACTACGGAGGACCATGATCTAGCACTTCACGATAATTTATACGAAACTGAATGTTTGTACTTCTGCCAGAACCTAGTCACGGTCGAACACCCATACATACACGATGTTTGCCCATGTGGCAATAACTTGAAACTTTTAATCACATCATCCTCTCGCTTTCAAAAATAATAAATTTCAAATAAGGCTTGAATTTCTTTGAAATTTTCACATAGTTCACCTTTGACTCAATTTTTACAGATCTCTTCAATTCATGCTCTGGGCTTTCCCGGCCCCTGAGTGAATATCCGCGATGCTACATATATCCGATCAGAGTCATCGATATTAGTGCAAACCCCGGCTTGGCCTATACTTATGGATGAATTGATAGATGAGGGCACAGATTGACAAGGTTAAAAAGGAGCGGTTTGGGCGCCAGGGAAGCACTTTCATCTTTGAAGTATACTATTGATGATATGACTGCATGTACAAAAGTATTGGCCTCCATATTAACATAGACGAAGGAAATTTCATGATCCAATATTTAGTCATGGCTCACACCCACTTCCCAAGAGTCTAAGCAGCCGATACATTGACTTCACTCACGATGCCAAGCATGTGAGGCCAAAATATTTGCATCAATAAAGGGCATGAAGATGATATTTTGGGTCAGCTCGAACTTTTTCACTTCAATTCTCTTGTAGGGATTCTCCAGTCGAACAAATAGAATATACCAAAATCTTTACATCAACCCGAAAATTGTCTGAACTCTCAAAAATTATTAAATCTCTCCTGTTGAAAAGTTGTTTATCGAAACAAGATCTTTTAGGGCACTAGTAGAGGCATAAGTATTTCAAATAACCACAAGTTTTCAAAAACTTTAAGAAAGCCGTATGTTTTAAAGTAACAAACAATCCCTTGAAATTTGGGATTTCAATGACGCTCTAGTCGGGGAACTTGGTCAAGAGGAGGGTCTGCGGGGAGATTTTTCAGCCAACACTTATTTCTGGACTGGGGAGCATGAAGTGAAACCATAGATAGCCTTTTGGAGGCAATAGCCTCTAATCTTATTTGATACCTTCAATTAGCACCGCAAGCAATCTTAAATTCTGCATTTTCAAACCGGAATAAAACTGGCAATAATTTAATAACACCTGGGTTCTGGCTCAGATCGCTGAAATTTTGTTACCCGTTTTCACAATTTTCGGGTCAATTTTCCGCACAAATATAGCTTTAACTTTCCGTCTGTGGCAAAAAAATACATAAGCACACTCTCGAAAGCCAGCTCGTTATACCCTCTTCTCCTTATAGAAGAAGGAGTTGCCATAATTTTGGACACAGCTTTGAGAGCTATTCGTTTTGTCTATATACGATTCCAAGAGAGGATAAATAAAGCTAGCCAGTGTCTCAAAAATCGTTTTGAGGCACAACTAAGTCTCTGGCTAGCTTGTTGTGCGGAACTACCAGGAGTTTATAAACATCTAGTTGATAAATTAATCAGATTGAACGAGTATTATCCTACAATTTTCTAGAATTTGTAAATACTTTCGCTATAGTAAGAAAGAAACTTATTATCAAACCCCCCTTGAATGACCAGAGGTTCCGGTATTTTGATCAGCAAGGAAACAACATAATCTTTGCCAAACTATTTCTAACTATCATCTGCTCTATTGAAAAATCTTCAATGTAACCCCTTGTGTCTGAAGAGATTGAAAGTATAGTCTGCATTCATTAACCTGAGAGCTAATAGCTCGCGCCGCCTCAACTTTTTTTCTCCACTATGACAAGAAAAAGTTATCGCGCTAATGACTCGAAATATTTGTCACTTATTAGGACTCAAACTGACTCCTAAACAGTCTCGGTACATAAAGCTTGGGCACGTTAATTTCAAAAGATAATTTTATAATTTATTGAAGATAAAACAAACATTCGCTTAGAATATTATCTTTATACTTACAAACCTATCATTAGTAGTCGAGTTAAAGCTGGATCAAGATTATTTGAATTCTGTTTCGAAAGTCTTTTACTTTTCGGGGTATAGCACGAGGAACCATTCAGCTGAAAATGTGGGCACAACAGGAAGACAAGGCTATCGATATTTTCACACAAAATAGCATGAGATTAGCAGCATTGGCACTAGTTTAATCGATCGATATGATTGATGAATATTTCTGTCGTGCACCTTAATAAAAGTAAAGATCGGGTTGACTACGAATTGTAGAAATCATATCCTAGCTTTAGTGAATCCATATGGTCCGATCTTACGTCTTTTCACATCAGTGAGAAACTCTTTAGAAGAATCTGACCTAATCATTTTCAACTGGTAGTCAGATAGATGGTACATTTCCGGATAATTAAAATGCATGTCTCTGTGGATTAGCTTTTAATCTGATTGCTACTGGCCTACTCTATATCGGCTGATAGACTGTCCTGTGGATTAGACCTCACTTGTTAGCCCAATAAAAAAGTAGTTAATATTTTCGCTGTGAGTAAGGATCTCGATACGAACTTATGCAGGGTGATGGAGAGGGCACACTTATATAGGCAAATTCCCGCAGTAACTATCTCTATTACAGAAAGTTAAATTTAGTGCGAGATCACCTTTTTGAAGCAACTTCGGCTCTCGATTGTTCATACTTTATACTTGGAAAATTTGCGATAACTAAGATCTAGCATGATAACTATAAATTACAAACAATTTTGAGGGTACATATGGTTAAGACCTAAGACAAAAAACACTAAATAAGTCTTAATGGAAAGAATATCATTGACTCTGGGTGTTAATGTGAGTTCTAGAAAGAAAAAGTATTTGCTGTTTTAGCAGATGATATGCGTGAGCAGTCTTCAAAGTGGAACTGTTATGTTATCTGTGTAACTTACCATGGTTATGCTTCAGGTCACATCATGGTATATAAATATGACTGTGGAACTAAACCGTGGGGTGTTTAGTGTGTAATGCATGTGTGGGTATTATGGACCAAACTAGAACTCGATAGAATAGAGAGAATGGAATCAGCGAGAGACTGATGGACTGAGGGAGAACGAGCTGGTCATTTCTCGTAGGAGAGAAATAATATCACAAGGGAATGTTCTAGCACTAGGCGGTGAACAACACAGTAAGTCTGGAGCAAAATATAAGGTGGTCTCAACCTCCGCTCATTCTTTGAAACCAAGTTTCCTTTACATGAGAATATAGATACAAGTCTTACATATTACGAGAACACACGCGATGGCGATTAACGAGACCTACTGTGAGCATAACTTCCCCAAGTGTATACATCGTCCCGCTCCTATATAGCCTAGTTGATATAACAGGAACCCTTGATAAAAATAAATAATATTAAATATGAACAAAGATGGACAAAGATGACAGTAAACAAGGTAGCGAGTTACCTAAAATTGTTGTGACCTAAAGGCAGGGCTAACAAAAACGGCGAAGCATAAGATTTAAGCAACTACTTTATTCCGTTTCTCACGTTAAGAATTATGTGTGAATATAATCTTTAAACCAATATCTGCATATAATCAGATAAAGCTGAATGGTAACGATAACGAAAGTATCCACGTCGAGAATCGAAGCCGAGATATTGTCGAATGCATCAAATTTAGTGACAAAAAAAAGGGAAGACTAGACAAAAAGAAGCTAGTAAGATAGCAGTGTTACAGGAGTGAGAAAGCCTACAGAAACAACTTAAGACAGAATAGCTATCTATTCATTAGGCATCGGTAGATCCAGAGTATTGAAAAGCTGCAAGCATCATCGACAAAAGAATAGGCAAAAAAATAATTACCCATAGAAGAACATCCACCAACACCCATCGAAGCCCTGCTAGAGTCTAAAATGCCATCACATTTCAAATGATAAGTCAGCACATTGGCCTCAATTCTTATTTACACCAAAGAAAGGTTCTCAGAGTTTATACTTCAAAATGCCAGTGTGGATATCTGTCACAAAAAGCCAAACATATGGTCTGCATATTCTCAGTGGGCCATGGGAAGAGGAGAGGTGCGACGATGGGCAAAAGATAAGTCTTTTCAAGTCATGATTAATAGCCCCAAGGATACGGAGAGAATCAAGTCTGGATGATAACTTAAGGCCGCTTTGAGCAGTTCTAGCCTGCAGAAGAAATAGAGATAGCAGTGTGTACAAAGATGAAGCAACTGGTAACAGGATAGGATAGAATTCACACTGAATGGATTGTGTAAATGCACTTCCTGAGTGAATACATAGGAAAGCAATGGATATGGTAGGTAGGATCGGAGAGTTTTATCGAATGGTTCCTCTATAAATGTTATAGATTTAAATATACCCGAATTTACCCATAGTGAATCTCAACGGGATAAACGATATAAAATCAAACTAAAACTTGGGCAGCAGCAAAGTTCTACCAATGCCGCCATTCTGGACGTACTAAACAAGCTTCCGGAAGTCACTATTTTCTCTCCACAAAAACCCGACGACGGCCCATAGTAGCTTAGCAATCCAAATTCGAAGCGAGCATATCGGGCTCAGTTCTTATTTACACAGAAGAAAAGTAGCAGGAGTTTATCAGGCAAGTTGTCAGTGTGGCTACCAATCACAAAATCCCAAGCACATGATCATGTCCTGCCTCAAGTGGTCAATCGGTAGAGGAGAAATCTGGAGACAAGCCCGAAATCGCCCCTTTGAAGCAATGACCAACAATCCCAGCGATATGAAAAGAATCACACGATGGATTCTTAATCATGATTGGATAGAACAATCCCGCATGACAAATACATTCGAAATGCTGCTCAGGGAACGAGACGGAACATGTA